TGGAATACTTAGAAGTAGGATATTCTGAGCCAGGTACGGTGGTGAACACCTTTAATCCTAGCACTGGGAAGAGGCAGGCAAAGCCTCTCAAAGCCAGTCTGGACTACATAGTGAGTTCCATGCAGCCAGGGCTACACAGTGAGACTTTGTTAAAAATCAAACAAAAACAAAACAAAAAAACAAGGAGTAGGGTATTCTGGCTGAATGGACAGCTACCCGTTAGTAAGGTTACTGAACCATGCTGCAAGGACAGTCTCCTCGAGCTAGAGTCCAGCATCACAGATACTGTGATATCATTCTGAACAGTACTTAATGATTAAAGTCTAGAAATGTCAAGGGTGTAGGCTGTATCTTCTGGGTGACTACCAGTGGTTGGAATATGCTTGGTCCAGGGAGTGACACTATTTCGTGTGGCCTTGTTGGAGAAAGCATGCCAATGTGGGCATGGGTTTTAAGACCCTTGTCCTAGCTGCTTGGAAGCCGGTCTTCTCCTGTTTGCCTTTAGATGAAGATGTAGAACTCTCAGCTCCTCCTGTGCCATGCCTGCCTCGATGTTGTCATGTTCCCATCTTAATGATAATGGACTGAACCTCCGAACCTGTAAGCCAGCCCCAATTAAATATTGTTCTTTGTAGGAGTTTCCTTGGTCATGGTGTCTGTTCACAGCAGTAAAACCCTAACCAAGATACTACCCTCGCACATTCCATAGAAGTAACAATTCTCCTAAAATTACATAGTAAAAAGCTGACTAGCAGGGCACCAATAAATTGGAGTTTCTAACCAAACAACAGCAGTGACTCTTCATTTTGCAATTTTTGAGACAGTCTCATAAAGTAGAGGCTGACCTCAAATTTGCTGTTACCAAGGATGATCTTTAACTCGTGAGCCTCCAGTCTCTGCCTCTCAAGTGCTGGTATTACTAGTATGTACCACCATGCCCAGCGAAGTAGTTCTTCCCAACAGTAAATTCTCAGTACATATCTCACATATACATGGGCACAATTATTTAGGGATTAAAACTGAGTATCTCTTCAATAGTGTAAAAGAATAGCTTGATAATTTGAGAGAGAAGAGGTACGAAGAGACAGGCTTTATAGTTTGCAGTGAAGAGACAGGCTTTATAGT